ATGATAAGACTTGGAGACGTGCCTTGATTTAGAGTCCACAGAAACGGCAGGATTAGCTATTCGAGCAAGGGGAGCTAAGCTGACTTCAAGCTCACTACGCCGAGGAACCAAAAAGAGGGAGACCGTGTAACCTAGACTGAGGGCAACTGTGGAACAGCAGCTTACATGTAAGTCAGGTTTGGTGCCAGGAGCTTTGATTTGCTCATGGCCAGTTTCAGGTGCCTCTGTTTCATATAGAGAGTCCTGGAATGTAGCTGAATCCAGAGCAGAGATTCAGGCAGAGGATTTCAAAGTGGAGGTCAACAAGGAACTGGCTGCTGCTCTCCAATGCCAGTGAATGCAGGGGACCAACAGGGCTTAGAACTTGACAGAGAAGACACCCAAGACTGAGTCACAACGTTCTAGGCAAGATACTTTAAGAACCTCAAGGGGTTTTAGTGGGAAGTGGGTGGAGACAGATTTTAACTCATGAAGGTTTTATATTGGGAGACTTGTTTTGCTATTTGTATTTGGAACACAGCTTAAACCAATGATCAATAATCCTGGGCATACCAGCTTCAGTGAAAAAGATTAAATATCCTAATGGCGACGGAAGGAGAGCTGGGGAGGAAGGGAGAGGGGAGGGAAGGGGGAGGAGAGAACATACAGGTAGAGTTCTCTTTCTCCCCTGCTTTAATTTCTTCTACGATCGATGTCTTAAACATAAAGACTGTAAACATGTCTCCAGGACTCAGCCCCTTGGATTCTAGATGCACCCTAGTCCAGGGTCTGTTTGTCAAGGCCTGGTGTCTGCAGCAAGATGACCAAAGAAGGACTAACAGCCCCAGCGATTGCTTTGCATCCCATGGCCTGTGTCACCAAGTGCCATGGTAAGTGGAAATGACGCCTCCCCAGAGACCATGTTAGCTCTGATAACATTGCAGCCTCCTGCCCACCACTTGCCCTCGGGCCACCTGGTGGGCAGGGCAGAGAGCACGAGAGAAGCCACATGGCCCCAAAGGCCCTGAGAACTCTGAGGGAGAAGTCTGGGCCGGAGATGGAGGAGACTTCTCCTTCAGCCCAGCCCCAGCCTGCTGTCTTTACTGAGTCCCCCAGATGTCTTGAAAGGCACAGGGGGGAATTCTGAGGACTCGCCAATCAGCCTTCTGGTAATGTCCATGTAGAGAGAGGGATGTTTCTCTTCATCCTGTAACAGACACTTTCAGGACCTGGGACTCTGCTGACCTTTCTCTGGCAGCAGACACATACTCATCCTAGGTCAAACCGGAAACACTGGGAGAGTCGATATTTGGGAACAAATTTCATGGGTAAACCTTTTAGCTTTCTCCTCGGGGGTGGGGGGTGGGGGGTGGGACTCCAAGGCATATGCTGTGCCTCTGATGTCCCAGAAGATGACACCAGTTGCTGATATCATGAGATACTCTTTATCCCACATTCTCCTGATCTCACATCCTTTCTTGTCTTGCTTGCTCAGCTCTCCAACGTCTTCCCAGAAGTTCCCTCCCTCACTCATTCTGACCTTTGTTTCAAGTTCTGCGTCTGGATGACTGCAACAGTAACTATCCCAAGCAAGGAACATGCTCCCTTCCCCTTCTGTCTTATGAGAGTTTCTGCAGTCCCAACTATGTAGGAGGTTAGATCAGATGCCATCCTTGTCCTGCATAGAGGAACTGCACAAATAACTATAACCAGACAAACACATAAAGCCCTATAAAAAGTAGGATCTGATTCTGGTGAGCATTGCTTGTCAGGGAGGGTCCTGTACTGGCCTTGGAGGTTTGAGAGGTTGAACAGGAATTCCTCAAATAGTCAAAAGGATGAGAGGAGTATATTAAAACCTCAGCAGGACATAACACCATAATATTAGTTCTTAAGTATCACCCATGTGCTAAAGAAGAAAGTATATTTTGAAGACTTATTTCATTTTATTTTTGTGTGTTTTGCCTGCACAGATGTCTAAGCACCACATCCATGGCTGGTGTCTGTGGAGGTCAGAAGAGGAAATAGTAGTTACAGATAGATGTGAACTGCCACGTGGGTGCTGAGAACCGAATCTGAGTCGCCTCCAAGAGCATCAAGTACTTATAACCACTGAGCAATCTTGAAGGGGGGGGAGGCTTGGGGAAAGCAATGAGAAAATTAAAGGCAATAAAATTAATAGCAATAAAATTAATGGCAATAAATGGGCAGACAAAATTCTGTCTGCCCTGCTGACCTTGCTTGTGTATTGTTTTGGAGAGGCAGGGGGACCATCTGAAATTGTGAGTTAAGTTTCTCCGACTGCCCAAGTATCAAATGCTCATTGTAGAAAAGTGGGCAAATAAATACCAAGCATCCTGAAGGAGAAAGTGAGACTATTCTGCATCTATCGTTCATTCAGCCATGCTGTAATGTCTGTGGGACTTCAGGTGACGGTCTTAGACTTAAATTTCAAGAATTTCTCTGGCAACTGGGTATGATTGTGTGGCTGGAAAGATGGGGAAATGGGGTGAGCAGGAGGGGGGGTTGGGGGACCTCTGGGGTTTGCAGGATAATTAGTGGGGCTTCATAGGCATTCAGAAATGAGACTCTCAGAGTTCGAACACCAGCTGGTCAGGCATGAAACAGAGAGGGGCACACCAGGTTAGCTAGAGGGATCCAGGTGTCCTTATCCATAGTAGGTAGAGGGGCCAGAAACTGAGGGATGAGGAGAACTGAGTACAATTTTCAGCTCTGCTCTGACACCTCCCACATGTGGGGCCTCAGGCAGACCTCTTGAACCTCGGATTATGTGTGTCCCTTCCTCATAGGCTTGTCACAGAGGTTCTGAGATGACCACTCTTGATGGGTGGGAACCTGTGGTCTTCCCAGTTCTCATCCTGAAAACTCGGGTCCACCCTTGGCCTAATCTCCTGCTTCCTGCCATCAGACCCTAAGATGTCAGGGTGAACCTTCCACCCTCTGGCTGTCCCCTCCTCTCCTCTCTGTCTCCTCTCCACGGGATACCTGTGTTGCTGGCCCTGTGTGTGAAAATTCTTTAAATATCCCCATGTATCATCTATACATTTAGTCACACATTCATTTTTATTCATTATTATTTTAGAGAGTTCTAGTGCCAGAGACACACAGCTGGAAAAGGTAGACAATGCTATTGTTTTCTTCAGGAGTTCAACTGCCATTAAAGGGGAGATGGAATTAATTATTAATTAATAATTAGTTAATTAAGTCAGTGTATCTTCACTAAGACCTGAACAGCTTTAAATGGAAGCAAGAGCTAATGCAAGTGCCCCAGGGGGTAGCTTTGAGCTTGGAATGTCACAAGTGTGGAAAGATAGCTGTGGCTAGGCTTATCTAGATGGCTTCCCATACTACTTTTGGGTCTTCCCTATATTCCTGCTTGTTGATATTACTTATTTGGCTTCCCCCAAATTCCCGATCTCCTATGATCACAACCAGTTCTGAAGGCATTAAGCTCTTTGCACAGGGAACTGACTGAGAACACCTGGGAATTGCCTCCGTGGCTCTCCTTGCAAGGCAGATTCGACACAAGAACTCTCAGGTCCAAGTAGCTCACGCTTACACACTCTAGAACAGATTGTTAAAATGTGCAGCCCTGCTTTTCCCATCCATTTCCTTACTTTGCTTTATCCGCCCTTAGCCTATACCACACCAGTCTTCTCGCCCATAAGTATTTATTTATTGTGCTTCCTGTTTTCCTCCTGTTTCCGGGATCGGACAACAGGCTCTTTGAAGGTGTTTGTCCACTTGTGGGAAACTATAAAGCTTGATTTGGCATTAAGGAGGCATTTTTGAGACTGAGTATGTATCAGTTCTCAGCCTTATAGATCAAGGTCACAGACTCAAAGAACAGGGTCACAGCCTGGCCACAAAGGGAGCCAGGAGTAAAATCTCAGGGCTATGACCTTTCAATCAGCAGAGCCAGCCAAACAAAACTGCCCAAAAGGCCCAGCCTGCAGGTCTCCAGTCACAATCCTTATCTCAGAGCACCAAGTTCCCATTTTGCTGGTGGAGAAAACTCTCACCAGGTAGGATAAGTGGTCTGGGTGTATGCCAACGCTGGTGTCACTGGGGTGGTGACACCATCCTTACAACCCACCTTTGACAGACTTAACCCTAGCTCTGGTAATCTGTTGCTCTCTTCCTTTGTCCAGAGGTCAAAGCCAGGTGTTTGGGGGAGCTGCCTGCGCTACTTTTGCCAAAAAAAGGTGCTAAGCCAGGTCCCCGAGAGTCCCTGGGAGTCCGGCTCCCGCCACCCCGGAGCCCGTGGGAGCTGCGCCCCCGCCTCTGCCAGTCCCGGCCACGCTGTCAGTCTGCATTAGCGCTAACAGGCTCCAGACCGAGCGGGCTGGGCGCGGGGCTAATGCAATAGGCGCGTTACCTGGGGCACAGGCTACATTACCAGGTCGGCCTTCTCCTGGCGCGGCCAGAGCCAGCCAGCCCGCGTCCTGCCGGCCACCCGGTGCCTGCAGCGCTCCCAGGGCCCCGCCTGAGTGCCACGCGGCGGAGCCCAGCCCGGGCTGGAGCCCGGGATCCCCGTGCTGTCCGCCACGTGAGTGCGCTCTGCGCGCGGGACCGGTAAGTGTGCGGACCGGCTCGGAGACACTCCGTGAGCGGCTGCGCCCTCTAGAATGTCCGCAAAGGCTCCTAGCGCTGTCTGAGGGAGCCACTCCTCTCCACCTCCCAGAGCTGGAGGAAACTTGGCATTTAGGGGAGGGGAGACAGTGAATGATCCAGGTAGACCTCGGCGGGGTCTTTAGCCCGACCCACAGGGCGGCCCGAGGAGGTCCCCACCTATAAATTCTGTCCCAATCGGACACGCGTCACAATCTCAGTCTGCAAAAATTCCCAACTCAGGCACTCCTTTTCTAGGAAGCCAGAGTCCGCTCAGCGCAGGATTCCTGACGTCTGGGTTCCCCTGGGTGGTCTCAGTTGGTACAAACGGGCTGCAAGCCTTGTTGACTCCTTTTTTTCCCTTTTCATACAAGCAGAACTTTGGTGTGTCCCCAGTGCCTCCAAAGTCCCTCTCTCCAGCCGCACCCATGCTTCTGGCGCGAATGAATCCGCAGGTGCAGCCGGAGCTCGGCGGGGCGGACTCGCTGCCCGAGCAGCCCCTGAAGCCCTGCAAAACCGCCGACCTGCTAGTGGTGAAGGAGCGCAACGGCGTCCAGTGCCTCCTGGCGTCCCAGGACGGCGACGAGCAGCCCCGGGAGACCTGGGGCAAGAAGATTGATTTCCTGCTGTCTGTGGTGGGCTTCGCGGTGGACCTGGCCAACGTGTGGCGCTTCCCCTATCTCTGCTACAAGAATGGTGGTGGTGAGCGCGGGGTTGACTGAGGCTTTTGGACTTGGGATGCTGCCTGTTCTTGTGGCATTGGTTGGGGAGGGAGTAGGGATGTACATGGAGGAGAAGAGGAGACACAGGAGCAAATTTAGTGTGCAGGAAAGAACTCTTTAGGGCACCAAGAAATAGGATCAGGGTGCTCTCTGTTGGGGAAATAGAGGCAGAACCTTGAACAGTTGTAGGCACAGAGACTCAAGGACAGAACAGAGGGTATCTGGTTGGGTGAGGAACTCAGAGTCAATGCTGCGGGCGCAGAAAAGGAGAATAGAGATCAGGAAGTTCTTGAAAGGGTTCTAGAAGAGTCTGGGATGTTTCAGCCAGACAAAAGATGACGATAAATCTAGCACCCAGACTCTAAGCTGGATAAAATGAGAGCCCTTGGATCACCGGTGGGCTACAGGGATAAGTGTACACAGCCTTTCAGGACACTAGATGCCAAGAGCTGAGCTGGACCTTGAGGTGAGAGTCCTGGGAAACTGGAGTGACCTCTTCAGCTTTGCAAGCTCTGGCCAAGTTGTGAAGCCCGGTGCATGCGAGCCTGGAGAAGACACTCAGAAGACAGCTCTTTTGTCCTTTTCTTGATGAGCTGTCATTTTACCCATCTGCCCTGGAATGAGAGCCCAGAGGTCACATACAACACCATGCAAGTAGCATCAAGCTCTTTTCTGAAGGGCTTGGAGCCTAGCATGGCCAAACCACCCCAGCCCCACTACCTTTACTCAGATATAAGTTCAGAAGCACCCTGCACAGAACCTAGGGATGTTAGCTTCTAGAGGAAGGTATTGGCCTGTCCCTGGGTCCCCTTGCCATGTAGTGGTTCTGACTTAGAATTCAAGGGAAGTCAGTTGGAGGCAGGGTGAGAATTTACGGGGACCTGGGGGCGTGGGAAGCTTGTGCTCTCAGAAACCAAGACGCACAGTTCTTCATTTCTGTGTTCTGTCTGGACACTTGCTATGGGGTAAACACCACTCAGTATTTGTAAAGAGGGTGTGGTCACCGAAGAGAGCAGGTGGCTCTGAGTTGATTGTGTTGCATATGGAAGCATCAGTTCTCACCAAGGAAGAGGAGCCTACTGGTGAGCAGTCCTGTGAGCCCTTCTGGATATGAGTCTGTCCCCATTAGATGCTCCAGATAAGACAAAGTTTCCGAGTCTCAGGAGATGCTCCCTGTCTCTGGTGGCCCTTGCTATTCTTCTGGCTCAGTATGCTCATCTGTAGATGCTGGTGGGCAGAGAGAGAAAGCTAAGGAGAGGACACATAACCCAAAGGTGAACTTTTCCTCCACTTGCAGATCCTCCAGGGACTCTGGGTAGATTTGAGCATCTGGCTCTTGGGGCCCAGTAGTAACAACAAGAAAAGGGTAGACTCTATATTTGTAACAAGCAGGGAGATGAAGAATAAACGGCAAATTGGGAGACCTTGGGGCAAGTTGCGTGTCCTTAGTGGCCGTCTGAGACTGCTTGTCCCTAGACATCAGACAGTCAGTCATTAATCAACAATATTTCTCTGCGTTAGCTCAGTGTAGGACATAATGCTAGGCTCTGTAGGGGTCACCTGGATGTATGAGCCGTCACTCTGTCTGCCTGGAACATGGCTCCCCAGAAGTCCTCACTACCATGTTGTGATAAGTCTTTTCTATTGTTATATGGAGCAACACAGGTGGCCAACTTGACACGTGTGCTAAATAGATATGCCAGGGCTCTCTTTGACACCGTCCACTTGGCCACTGTCATGTTTTGGAAAGAGCACTTGCTGTGTCCTGGGTGATAAGTTGGGTGTCTAGGGACAAAGTGCAGCAAATTTGTCACAGGTGTGAAGTTTTCTGTGAAACGGACTGACATTCCCTTTCCAGCGTATACTGCTCCTGGAGCAGCCTATCCCTAGTTGTTCCACAATTTGTCGTTTATGGAGCTGTTTCCCAAGCAGGCTGAGAAAAGTTGAGGGCACAGACTGTTGGTTTTTAATCCTCAGTAAGATTCTAGTCCTAGGAATGTGGTAGAAAGTTCCTACCCACTTATACTGAACAACTATACTAACAAAATAACCCACGCTCTCAGAGACTCGTTGCCAGTTTCACAAACCATGGCGGAAACATTATAGGAACTAACACAATGGCGTGCTGGAGATGATGATGATGATGTGTGTGTGTGTGTGTGTGTGTGTGTGTGTGCTGTGAAGGGTCTTGGCTGTGAAGTTACAGGCTCCAGTCTCTAACAGGTATGACTTTGGGAAAACTCTCTAGCTCTTTTTCATATATGTAATCATCTTGTTCAGCTACACACATGGATAAGGACTGAATGCTTCAGTGCACATGCAAAGCCTATGTGACACGTGACTTAGGGTAGCTGCCGCTTTTTATCAGTATCGTTAGGATGTCATAGGAAGGGGATGGGGGAGCAACTGTTGCTATAGAGATTTAAGGAGGGGCTGTTTAGTGGTGACTCAGGAGAAGAGAGCTGTGGTTGGAACTCAGCTGCTCTGGACAGGGAGGGCTTGGAAAATAGCATTTTAGCATCCACCTGGAACAGACTCCTCTGGAGAGTAACATAGACTGGCTGGAAGTCGAGCCAGGAGAGATAAGGGTGAGAGGCAAGTTGGGGCTGGGCTGTGGAAATCTTGGATGCTAGACTGAGGGGGATGGGCTGCTATCAGTGAATTTCCATTGCTGATTAGGAGGTTTGCAGTTGCTCTGGGGAAGGGTAGTATAGTCCAGTCCTTCATCTGGGAGAACAGAGCACGCCCATTTAGTGCTCCCATCCCTGCTCCAGAGGATGCTCAGCTACCTCCTCAGGCCTTGATCTCTGCTGAGACCCCATACTGTTCTTTGTGATGGACCATTCTCCTTCAATAATTCTGGCTTCGGTTCCAGAGATGGGTGAGCAGGCAGGTTTTCCTTCAATCTTGGAAGAAGCCAAAAAGTTGAGTTTAAATCCCAACCCCACCACTCACTGTGACCTCAGGCATCAAAATTCCTGGTATAAAGGGACATAATTTGAGATGACCCAACAATTCATTGCTCCTCAATGCCCTGACTACAGCTGTATGCAAGCCAGGCTTCATCATCCTGTTCTTTGCCAGCCTGGCCCTGGGTCTTTGTGTTCTTTGGTGCCAGTATTAACATAGAACCTCCAAGTCTGAGTGTTTATACTGGCCCAGACCGGAAAATGTTTTGAAATGATGAAGTTGCCAATAGTTTATGCCCCTGGCTAATATTTTATGAATGAATTACTGTCAAAGATCAGCCTGTCTGAACATCTTCCTGAAGACCAGCTGCTGGGATGACAGGCTGTGCGTTCCAGATCGTTCCCTTTGAACCCAGGGTCGGGTCTGTGCTGGTCTCTGGGAAGGAACAGATACACAGGAGGCTGAGTACACATGCCTGGAAGTGACCTCTGGATTGTCCTCTGTGCATGGACGGTGCTCTACACTCGATCTTGTGGTGACTATGGCTTTCTGGATTTGAGCATACCTGTCGTTGACTCAGAGGATGGTATTTGGTAGAGAAATGGCCTTGGAGAAGTCATATGGCATCTCTAGGCCTCAGTTTCTTTCTGTAGCAAAGAAGGGATAATTTTGATCCTTTCTACAGCACTAGATAACACTGGACAATATAGATAAGGTACTTGGGATAATGTTAGTGTCACATAATAGAGACAACATGTAAATGCTATCATTTTTCTATTTTCGATGACACTGGCTACACGTTTAACACAGGTGTAGGATGAGGTCCTAATTCTGAGATAAGTAGAATTTATTCTGAAGAGAAATTGATGAAGGAGATAAGGTTAAAAAAAAAAAAGAATTCCTTTTTAAGCCTGAGTTCGCAGTGTGGCAGATTTAGGAGGCAAAAGTTGGGCCTTGTACATGTCCAGACAGTGGTTCTCACATGTGGGTCACAGCGCCTTAGGGGGTCACATCTCAGACGTCCTGCATACCAGATATTTACAATACGATTCATAACAGTAGCAAAATTACAGTTATGTACTAGCAGTGAAATAGTCTTATGGTTGGGGGGTCAGCACAGCATGAGGAACTGTGTCAAAGAAAGATCGAGGACACTAGGAAGGCTGAGAACAGCTGGTCTACAGTGTGTCACTATAGATTGCTCACCTGGACAGCGGGCATAGCAGTCCTGCATGAGATGCTATAATTCTGAGTCCTCAGCCTATTTTCCTCACTACACAAATGCCTGGACTCCTAAATAGCACTAATGAGGGTGGTGCTGACACAGACACCTGGGTTTTTCCAACTTGATAGCTTTCTATCTAGTTTGGGCACAGGGTTAACCACCTAAGGATCTTGTTCAGGTGACACATTATTTGGGTCACATGCACAGGGAACCAAACAGCATGGCACCCCAGCTGTGGAGCGTGCCTACCACTTTGAAGGAGTAAGATACTGGTCCAGGTTCATTATCATCTAGTGGGCTGCTAGCCTAAGCTGGACAAAAGGATCTGAAGGGCAGTTCCCAACCAAGTGGGATTTAATGGAGAGAAAGTTACCCAGAGACAGCTGCCATCAAGAAGCACACTGCCCTTGTAGAACAAATCAGCTCCTCTCAGAGGTCAGTTGGGGTGGGGCTGAGGGAAATGAATTTGGAGGCCACTGCTGTCTATGCAGCACCCCTCTTTACATGAAACTGTTCCTGAGTATCCTGCCCTGCAGTCTCAAACCCAATTGCCTAAGTGAGGATTAAATTCTAGGAGCACTGGAGAAGGCCCCGGGATTTTGTTAGTGGTACCCTCAATATGAATCACTACAGAGACCTGTTTATTCAAAAGAAACTCATTGGCTAATGACAGCCCCTAGTATAGAGATCTGGGAGTTACAGTCTACTGTAACTATTCTAAAAGTTCGTACTGTGCTATACACACTTCAGATGAGGGAAATGAGATTGTACTCAGTTCTATGTGGGTCACATTTCCTGTAGGAACACAGATCTGAGCATCGAAAACACTTTCAGATTTATTCCTTTTAAAGAGATTAGAAGGAAGGAGACTGGAACCAGAATCCATGAGGGCAAGTCGAGTCGAGGCATGACCATGTAAGGAAAGGTGTCGCATAGAGGAGAAGTGGCTTCCAGACTCATTGCCCCGAGTCCCACGCCCACTGACCTCTGGGGAGGAGATGATTCCTTCTACAGGTCAGTGCCCTACTTGACTGGAGGTGTTCCTGAGAATCAAGGCTCAGGCAGGAGGTCAGCTTGAGTCACAAAAAGTGAGAGAGTCACTGTCCCTCTACGCAACAGAGCTCCAGATACCTGGCTCTGGGTTTTCTCAGGCAAATGGCTCCAAGGATCTGTTGAAAAATGTGCAGGTCATGGTGTTGCCTTCAGGGAATAAAACCCAGGCACAGGACAGGAGAGCCCACCAGCGTATGCCAGAAGCCTCTAAAGTCTAGTAGCTGAGAATTCCAAACTTGGACCTTTTAACAACCCTATTATAAAGGTCTCTTGCCAAAGTAGGAAGGAGATATGTTTTAATAAAGAGTTGTGGCTGGAGTTGTCATTTTTGAGCCATGTCTCCAAGAGGACTGAGTCCCAGCCCTGCAAGAGTTTGGTTGGCTTGCTGGACTTAGATACTAGCCCATGAGATGCTACAGGGGACAAACTCTGGCTATTTTAGGTACTGGCCTAGGCATTGTTGGGCCTGATGGGTGCCTCAGGCAGTGACAGCCCACAGATGAGCTGAAGATATTCAGGAAACCATCTTGTGAGTTCTCAATCCTCAGTTTGGCCAGAATGATGAAGGAAGTCTGTCCTCGGAAGTCTGCTCTAGATGACCTTACTCCTGCTACAGCTTCTGGTGACCTCACTCTACTTCCTCAGAGTTGGGCCCTCCTATTCCTCTCAGTAGCCCTTCCTCCCCCACCCTCAATCACCTTTACACAGATCTCCTTACCTTCTCAGGGGGCTATCTAATGATCTCAGTGGCCTGTGGCTTTTCCTCCTGATGAAACAGCATTTACACAGAAAATTCCAGAACCTCTTTGCCAGTGGAGTTCCTCTATCATGGACGGGTATCTGGAAGTGTCAGTGGCCCTGAAAGATGTATGCTTTTTAATTTTTACCAGATCTATCCAAAGGCCTTTGGCCAGAGTCTCTTTCACAATGGACGTTTCTTTTTCTTCTAAGATGATATGAAGGTGTGTGTGTATGTGCCTGTGTGTTTGTGTGTGCTCATGTGTGTGTGCGTGTGTGTGTGTGTGTATGTATGTGCCTGTGTGCTTGTGTGTGTATGTATGTGCCTGTGTGCTTGTGTGTGTTTGCTCCTGCACGTGCTCACACAAGGTCTAGTTCTAGCCTTGCATGAGTATATATGAGTGTGTCAGGCTGTGAAGTCATATGTTTTGGGGGAACCTCCTAGAAGCTGAGTCCTCACAGAGGTGTATCCTGTTCTGGTTTTCCCAGGTCTGTTCATGTGAGCCCTGCACTTACGAAACAAGGGCACTTCAGAGCCATGACTGCATTCTGGACTTTCAGGTCCGGTGTGAGGCTTACTGCAATGCTTGGCCACACAGGAGATATACAGGGACGTTAGGGCATGACAGTGATGGCCCTTTCAGACTAGTACATTTGCGTGCAGTCTTTAGCTCTAAGATGATGCTATAGAGCTGGGTATAAAGAAGTGTCCTCAGTCCACCACAGCTACCTTGAAGCTCCTTAACTGTTTAGCCATATATCATCGTCATCATCATCATCATCATTATCATCATCATCATCATCTGTAAGAAAGCTCACACCAGTGTGCTACTTAATGTCCTTTTTTAACAGAGAAATTGAACCATGGATACGTTCTGCTTTTCATTCATCCTTACCATATCCCCATTAAATTTTTAAAATATAATTTCATTTCCTCCTTCCAACCCCTCCTACATTCCCCGTGTCACCATTCTAGTGTCTTCTGGGATTTGTAGTCCACGAAACATCCATTGGTCCACATCAGAGTCATTCCTGTGGAGAACTCTGGCTCAGACGGATCTCTCGATGTCCATGCTTTTTCGCTTTACTGTGACTTGAAGTCGACAGCAGGGGAGATGGGCTTCAAACTGGGTGACTTGCTGGGCTGGTGGCACCATCTGGAAGTTTAGAGTTAAGGACATGAGCTAAATTAGACCTGTGATAGATTGACTGGGTTCTTTAGCTTGGCCATTTTAAAGACAATGTGGACCTTCGGTTGCAAATCTTAGAACCACCAGCTGAGCATGGATATCTGACTCTCGGCTCCCCCAAGTCCCCTCGGGGCACTGACTTTAGTCTTCAGACTTATTTGATTGTTTTAGGACCTAGCTTCCTACTTTGGTGCCAGCTCTGGTCCCCCATAGGATATAGCATTTGACAACAGATGCCAGAAGGATCCTTCCTGTGAGGGAGGGGCTGAGGCAGAAGTTAAGAGGAAGAAAGGAGACCTTGAAACGTGTATTACAAAGAATTCCAACTTGGAGCAGTGTGTGGGGTGCTGGGTTAGCCTATGACAAATAAACCAGATAGCTTGGCTTGTCCCAGATTCTCAGATACCCCTCTTCCCACATCTTAAGCAGATTTATATCCTTTATCTGCACCAGAATGTTTTAGAATCCACAGAATATGTTGGGCCTAGAACTCAGGAGCCAACAGTATCTGGGCCCAAATCCTATACCTGTCACTTACCCGACGTGTAAGCCTTCTCAGCTCACTTTGACTTGACCCCTAAGCCCCAGTCTCCTCCTCTGGAAAGTGATCATGGCACTGGTTTGTTACCAGAGAAGTTCTGTGTAGCAAAGCTGAACTCAGATTCTAGTGCCTTGCTTGACATGCATGATAAACATTTGCAGTACTTTTTCCTGCTATTCACCCTTGGACTATCTCTGGCTGGGAATGATCTCAGCCTTGCTGCAGCAGGACCAGCACATCACGCTTTATCTTTGAGAGCCCCAGGCTTTCCATGCCGAGGCAGACACTGAGTCACCGGGTGATTTTGACCCTGGAGAATATGTACCTTTGCCTCAGTTCTTTTGTAAGTTAAGAGCTTCAGTTTCCACCCGTAACGTGGAGTTAGCAATGCTCTGTAGAAATGCTCTAAGGATCTAATGAGGTTCCATGGAAAGTGTCTGTACCACATGAGGGGCTTAGCCAGAGGGAGCTGCCTGCTGATCCCTGTGTTAAAATCACTAATGTTGTCATATTTATACACTTGCATCTTGGGTTATTTTCCTGGTGTGCATGGGTCAGAGGGTTTCCAAGTTTTGAACACCTCATTCAGAAGTCTAGAAGGAGTTTGGCTTTGTGCTGGCTGTTCCAGGAAAGGCGCTACAGTTTTACTTTGACCCTGCTGACATGGCATATGTACAACTCTGAGTTATGGCATGAGCCAGAGCTCATGGCCCGTGTTGCTCACTGAGGGTGTCAGGGTACACGGAGAATTGTCCCTGACACTGAGACATGTCTCATTTCATCAGAATTGCCTCCAGTGGCATAGGACCTCCTTCATGTTCTACCTCTGCCTCAGTAGGTGGACTTCTTATGGCCCCTTTGTAATAGCCGTTTTCTTCAGCAGCCTATAGGAGGATGAGCCCTATGGACTGGAAGGAACTCTGACGGAGAATCCATCTCCTGTTAGAAATGCCATCAGGAAGTGTTGACTTCTCTCTGCCTAACAATGTCTCCCAGAGGACCTAATGATCCCGATTACAACAGTTTCTCACGGGTTTCTTTGACGCTCTGAGGAGAATGAAGTAAAATCAGGTTTGGGGAAGTCATGTGAAGTTTTGCAATGTTACCAGTGTGAGAAAATGAGACTCTCCACATGTCCCCTTAGGCACTGTCTCTCCCTGTCTGGTCTCAGTCATCTTGCCTGAGGAAAGGAAAGGCTAACCTTACGTGGGAGTTTCCAGAGTTAAGCTTCATGGAAGGAAAGGTTCTGGGTTTAGATGAGTTTGGTGGAGGTTGTATCTTGTGGTGCTTCATGGCATGCAGTGTGCACCAAAGGCTAGGAGAAGCTGTGGAAACACAGCTCTGTCTCTTTGCTTCATGCAAACTTTCGTCATCTGACTGCAGACGAGCATTATTATGAGTATGAACACTATGACTGCCATGCTTGCTGCTAGACCAATCAAGTGTTCTGCATAACTCTATTGCCACAAAACATCCCTTGGGAAATGGGCAGATGAGTAGAAGAACAGGATCCTTGCAGCTATTGTAGAGAGGTGACTGCAGCCCTTTAAGGGGTGTCTATCCTGCAGGTCTGATGTTGTCTCTATGTCTTGTAGGTGCCTTCCTGATTCCATACACTCTGTTCCTCATCATTGCTGGGATGCCTCTGTTTTACATGGAGCTGGCTCTGGGGCAGTACAACCGGGAGGGGGCAGCCACTGTGTGGAAGATTTGTCCTTTCTTCAAAGGTAAGAGTGATCTGACGCATGTCCTATATTTTCTCCAAAGCCTTTCTTGGTGTATCCTGAAGAATCTGCTCCCAAGCTGAGGTTTAAGGTAGACCAACTCTCACATGGGGCTATGGGCATTGACAATGTCAAGATTGACCACCATTCAAATTTACACAAAGAAACTAGGATACATGAGGTGTAGCCTGAAACTCGAGCTCCAGGCTAGGCCCCACTACTTGACTGAATGACTAGAGTGCTTTTACATGTGGTAAATGCAAAGATAGCAGGGATCTCAGCACACATACCTCTACTCTCACTTTCTTCCTTCATGGCAGGCATGGTAAGTTGATCATAGATGCCTTCAAGTTCAAGCAGAAAGCTGCCATAGAAAGCTGAACACAACAGCTATGACTGCTGTAAGGTTAACTTGTACTTGAATTTAGAACAGGTCTGTGGGAAGTAGCCATGGTCAACAGCCATTTTCCATCTCCTAGACTATTGGGAGAAGGGTGTGGAACAAGGCCAGTGTCTCACAAACACTGGTTAGAAAAATGGAGACAGTGCGTACAAGTGTGTCTCCCATGATCCTCTCCTTAAGAGGCGAGAGTCTCTTCAGCACCTTGTATGTACTGGTTTAGTGGTGAAGAGGGCAGGCTGACATAAAAGTTTTATAAGGTACATGGATTAGCATCTTTTCTATTAGGTCACCTGAGATCCAACTCACGATGGTTTCTTTTTAGTATTCTTTTTATTTTTTGAAAATTATGACTAATTTATAAAGTTAGAGTTCAAAGTGATGGGCTTCATTATGAAATACATATACATAAGTATATATATATATATATGATTATACATACATGTATGTATATGTGTATATGTATGTATATATCTGGTGTCTATATGCATGTACTTACACACACACACGCACACACACACACACACACACACACACAGTTTTTTTGTTCAGGTGCTCAAACACTACTGTCTGGAATCTTTCTGTCTCTTTGTTTCCTCCTGTGTTAGCCTCATTCCCAGGTAAATTCTTATCAATGGCTAGTAAAGATGGCTGTGAGCAGCTACAAGGTTAAATTCTACCAAATTCAACAGTTGAAAACAACAAACACATGTGCTGAGAACTAGCCAGGGAGTGCTTGGTTGGATCTTCCCCAAGAAACAGGTCCTGGGGAAGGATTTACATCTAAGGAGTTACCGGGGAAGCTGAGAGGGTCTTAGGAGCATCAGCTGGAGGCAGAGTGCCTGTCTTCAGTTAAGGAGCCCATCATGGACTAATTCCACCATGGGTAAGGAGAATGTGAAAATACACCCCTGTGTTATCCTGTCTGAGTGTTGAGGGAGATGCAGTATTTATGCACCAACACCAGATATGGCATTAAGGCCCTGGCACTTTGTTTACCTGGTAAGCGGAGCAAGAGAGCTACAGTGTCAAAAGATTATGGGTGAGGCTCTGACAATATGCTTTAGGGAAAAAAAAAAGAGGTACAAGAGTGCACAATGGCTGCAACCTACTTCCTGGGGTGAGGGGATAGACCTGAGACTGGGTCTGGGAAAGCCTGACCTCTTTGTCCCCACACAGGAGTGGGCTATGCTGTGATCCTCATTGCCCTCTATGTTGGCTTTTACTACAATGTCATCATTGCCTGGTCACTCTACTACCTCTTTGCATCCTTCACCTTGAACCTGCCCTGGACCAACTGTGGCCACTCCTGGAACAGCCCCAACTGTACCGACCCCAAACTCCTCAATGCCTCGGTGCTGGGTGACCATACCAAATACTCCAAATACAAGTTCACACCGGCTGCAGAGTTTTATGAGTAAGTCATGGGTGCTTCGCTGGCACACTGAGGCCTGGGCGGGAGCCGAGCCAGAGATTAGGAAATAACACAGACAAGTTAGGAGCGTGGCAGCCAGCATTTGAAAGGTGCAGGCTTGATGCCAAGTTAAGAACAGAGGATATGGTAGTGTAAGGAACGCCCGGTGGAGCCACTGGTATAGGACAGGAGAGTGGAGGTTGGGAGCCAGGATGTCACCATGCAGACAGGAAGCATGATGGTACTGAAGACAGCGTGTAGCCTGTAGGACATAAACAGCACTTTGGAGGGAGTAATTGCCTTTAAGAACCCAAACTAAGAATATAGGCAAATGGGAGCTTGTGGAAAGGACAGCCTCTCTGGGGCAGTGACTGTAGATACTGATGGTATCCACAAGCTAGCCGGTAGACTGTGCCTTCAGAGTTGGAATCTGCACCTGTCTGGTCCTGGAGGAAGCCGAGAAGATGCATGTAGCCTGGAGATGGTGTGTTTTCAGTGTGTGTATGAGAGGCACTGGCTGGTGGCAATGGACAAAACATTGTTTAAAATATATACAACATTTCAGTTGAAGTAATTTCAGAAATAGAAAGCTGAATGGATCGTACACGGGACACTCCTTCCCCTGCGTCCAATGTTGACACCTTGAGTAACCTCTGTGCACTCTTGAAGTCAGAAAATTAACACTCACATGTTATTAGCTAACCTACTGCGGACTCACACTTCCCAACTGACACCGTGTTACGCTATTTAGTTTTTGAGCCTGCTTACTCTCCTCCAATATGGGTGACTTCTTTGAGCTTTCCTTGAGTTTCATGACTTTGACACTTCTAGAGGGTGCTGGCCAGGGATTCTGTGACATATATGTCAAGATGGATTTATTTGTTGTTTTCTCACATTCTGATTGAGGATGTTCACTTTCCACAAGGGCACTCGATAGAGGCACTGTGGCGCTCTTCTCGGCGAGCCTTGTCTGGGGGACATGATGTCCATCTGTCTTGTTACTGGTGAGGTTAACCTTGAATGTTGAAAAGGTGGATGCTGCCAGCTTCTTCCTGGATAGGGATATTTTTACTTTGTTAAATTGTATCTTTGAGAGAGGTACTTTCAGGTTATGTGAGCATCTTGTTTTTCCTACTTTAACCTTTACTGCCAACTCTTAACTTTGGCACGTAAGGATTTCTGATGGAGCGTTTAATAGTTCTCTGTTATTTTCATCAATCCTAGAAGATCTGAGTAGAGTCCTGATGTGAAGATCAGCTCCCCTCTCTCATGTATTCAATCCAGTTTATTCGATTAGATCAGAATTGCCTCCTGAATATTTATTTTGTCTGTGATTGACTCCTGAGCTACCACCATCCAGTCTGTTGGATTCTTACTCACTGCTGTGTCTTGCTAGGTCTTAGTGAAGGAAGTGGTTGACATATTTTCAGTCCCCTAACTCGCATGCATGTTTCTATCCTCAGAAGAGTGCTTCAATTGCTCCCTCCAGCAAGGGTGACCCTCATTTGAGCGATGCCTCAGTCATATGTTAGTGGTAGTCCATGTCCAAACATGGAAGAGGACAGGTAAAGTCCACTGGACGCCATCCTCAGGGCTCATGTGATCCTCTGCAGAAGCCTCTCACTGTACTAAACAAAATCACAGATTATAGATTCTAAGGCTTTTGGGTCACATGTGTAGATTTACCTACTAGGTCATATACAAGCCCACAATAGAAGAAAGTATGGATACCACCGAAGTTCAGCTTGCTGAGTCATGAGTTTATTGGAGATATTTACATGGTAATGGGTGAGGGCTTACTTACTGGAGCAGAAATGACTCAAAGACAGTTCTATCAGCAAAGCCCACCCCAGCCTGGGTGACAGCTCACAAAAGCTAGGAGCCTGAAGCTCACCGCACATTGCCCTTTTCAAGTGGGTCTGCTCTAAACTGATTCCAGGTATATCAGCTGGTTTCTGCTTTTTCCAGGCAGCTGGGCTGCTCTCAGAGATTTTGCAGCTTTTCTCCTCCGAGAGTCTTCTTGGCAGCTCTGTTTCGCTGGTCTCCAAGGAAATCTCAGCTTTTGTTGCTTACTCTGGCAGTGAGGGGCCTAGTGATTCTGCTCAGTTTCAGGGACTTGTGGAAAGGATTTTGAGTTGTTTATCTTCCTGCTGAAGAAGTTTTCCAATAGGATGGAACGTGGTTAATACTAAAATGGTGCTTGCTCTATGAAAGAAGAAAGGAGTTTGTCCCATGCCCAAGCACTTAGCATATCGGAGTTAAATCTTGGTTACACATCACATTCACCTGCGGAGTTTTAGAAGTCATTCATGCCTGGATCTTACCAGCCTGGGTACAGCCAGGGAATGCGGACTTTCTTTATCAGTGTCTCCCCAGAATCCTAACATCCAGTCATCATTGAAGGCCTCTGGATTAGTCACTGCAGGTCTTTGTCTCTGGGTGGGGGAGGTCTCATATCGTAGAAAATTTAGGGTCTCCTTCATTCTTCAGAGGAGCAGAGTTTGTGGGTGAAGGTTCTGGGAGTTTCTTCCTGTTTCATGTGTGTGGTTTGGACAAGGAGACAGTGAAAGATGGGGGATGGGGAGGGACTGGCTGCTGATCCCTGCTTCCCAGCATGCTCCTCTCTCCTCTCACAGAGCGAAGAACATGGTTTTCCTTTAGCTCCTGGCAACCGTTGTTCTTATAAATTAAAGTGCTAAATGAAAGGCCCTCATCTTGGTCTGGTTAATATTTGATTCCTCCCCCCTAGTGGCCAGCACATGTACTCCCGCAGAGATGCACAGCAGGAGGGAGAGGAGACCTTGAGTGCCTTTGTTGCAGAGCTGAGCTTCTTCCAGGCCCAGCCAAGAGTAGAAAGTGGTGGAAAGAGATCACATTCTTGTCTACAGTTACACAGGGCCTTGGGAGCCCAGAGTAGAGAGCAGAAGGCAGAGAGAGTATCCATAGCGTTCTTCTCTGTAGACTTGTCTGTCTCCCTTGTCTGTTCCCTCATCTGTTCCCTACCCCCACATGCCTCCATAGCTCCCCTGAACTGGGTTTCCAGCCTGCTTTCACATCCCACTTGTGCCTTATCTGTTTGTGGAGGTGGAAATGACCTACAAGATCAGACAACAAAGGTGTGGCCCAGCTTTAGGTCTGAGGCAGAGCTGGGTCTTCTCATTTGGTCCACAACTCATCTCATAGGAATGGCTCCTGGTTTTCTTTTCTGGGACAAGAGTGCAGGGGCCTCTGAAGGTAAATAGGAGCCCTTCTCGGGCTTCTCTTTCTCAGGTCAGGCCTGCCTATGAGTGTCCTAGAACACAGCACTGTCATGGGCTGCCTCTGGATTTTGTGTAGTACATCCCCTTTTATTGAAATGCTTGATGTGCTTTTAAGACAATTCAACTCTGAAGAACCAGCAAATGTGAGCCAGTGCCAGCCCTGTGGAGGTTGAGTAATTCCTTCTTTTCCCTCCAGACATCCTCGCCAAGTTTGTTGCCATCTTCTGCTCATTTAGGCTGACAGACCGAACATGTCATTCAAGAGAACAAAACTGTTGCTCTCCCCAGGCTCTGGGCCTGAAGCCACTGAAAGCCACTAAAGTTCTATCCTTATCTGTAAAAGGCATCTTCAGTGAATGTGTCAGGATAGAAAACTTCTACCCATGACACCTCCAATAAAGAAGGGGATTCTCCCTCCTCCCTAATACTAACTCTTCGTGCTTAAATGTCAAGTGAGAAATGGAGCCGTTTGGCCCACAGGCTTTGGAAAACCTGGTTGGTGCCCTCTGCGATGATTCATGTCCATTAAGCTGCTGGAAAAGGACTGCAAACCCTAGTTACACGTGCCAACCCCAAAGCCTGGGAGGTTGCCCTCAGTCCTCTGTGATCAGCTCTGGAGATGCACAGCTCTTCAGATGCACATGAGGGTGAGGCAGCTCATTGCATGAGGACCCTTCAGTTGTGTGACTTGACACTAGGGAATTTTCCCAAGTTTCAGACAAGCAGGGAGTGGTGGTGATTCCTCTCAGAGAGGGGGAGGGTATTTTTAACAGTCAAATTAGTCAAATGTCATTGACATCATTCTACATTTTACCCATAAAACTATGAGACAAAGCAGAACTAAGCATCGAGTGAGGCCAGACTATTCTCTATCCTTGGTCATATTCAGTCACCCACTCCAAATCTCCACCCCCATTTTCTCCTTTCTTCTCTTCCCAACTCATCCCTTTCCTGTCCCACCTTCCATTCTTTCTCTCTCCGGAAATAAAGGCTACAAGTGAGTGGACCACTTCTGATTTGAGACTAGCCAGACTCAAAGGTTGGCCAGGCTGACAAATTGGGCTGGGAAATGTATTTTAGGATGCAGGAACAGAAGGTCCCAAGGGTCCCAAGGTTTCCCCAAGGGTCAGGGGAATATCTGAAGATGGTAGCCAAGTATCTTGCTGTTGCCAGGAGCAAAAGACTGACATGGCAAGGGAGGCATGTACTTGGCAGTGGTGGGTTCCGAAAGCCCTCTGATGCTAAAAGGCTTGTTTGTATCCCCTGGAGCTGGACTTGACAACTTCACATGCACAATTTATGGTAGGATGATTCTTTCTGGGGAGTGAGGGTGGGACAGCTCCTGACCTGTATGTTTGGCAGTGTTCTTGGCCTCTACTTAATACATACCAACACCACCCTTTCCCCTCCAGAAAGCTCCAGACTCGAGAAGAATCATCTCGGTGCGAAGTCTTATGTGATAGGAAGTCTCTGAGTGTTTGGAGACAAAAGAGTGGCAAGGTTAGACTGATGTGGCACATCAGTCTAAGGTTAGACCAGATTGGATTTAAGAGAGCTAGTGAGAGGCAGAGAGACCAGGACTCGGGGATCAAGTAGGGTCTTCTATGGTTCTAGAGGGAGAGAATAAGGGGCCTGGTGTGGGACAGACTAGTGAGGACCAGAGGCAGGTCTAGGAAGAGTCAGACACAAGTACTGTTGTGGGAGGAGAAAAGATGGTGAAATTAAAACAGGTGAGCTGGCACTTCAGAGACTGGATGTTTGGGGGAATGTGGGTGTTTTTTTTGGGGGGGGTATTGATCACTCACAAAGCTTCGTTCCTGATTCACAAATGCTTACATCCTCGTCCATCACTGCCCCTGCCTACCTGCTGCCAGCTTGTCCTGTGCTGTACTGGCTCCTAGCATCCTTGTCAGAAGAGCCTGGCCTGTTTGCAGTCTTTGTGGAACCTTGCAAGTGCTCCTCAGCTTCCTTTGCAGACATCTGCTTCTCCTCCCTGAAGCCTAGGCCCAGATGGAATGAGAGCTACAGCTGCCCTCTGTGGGGCATCTCCTGGGCTCAGGGTATGGCCCACATTCTGCAGCTGAATCCTTCATGAGCGGGAGACAGCCCAGGAGTGGCGATGTTTGCATGATCCTATTTGCATTGCCCCTATCCTGGGAGCTTCATGTTTGATGAAGTCACCTGCCTCTAACACACAACCTGGATCAAAGCTGAGCTACAAAAGGCTTGGTACTAAACATGGGGTCAGGTCATACAGGATCTGGGGACAGGGCCCTCTGGGGAAGCCTGGATAACTTCACTTCCATCCCACATTCTTCAACTTCTCTTCATTTTCTTGCAAGTACTAGACATCTGATACGAATGAATGAATTACAGAATGGATAAATGCAGCACTTAGTGGGTTCAACCTTTAGTGGCCAATCAAAGACTTTACTACCCAAGTTCCAACTTCACAGAGGTTTGACTTAATTGGTTAGAAGTGAGAAGATAGCAGCAGATTGCTTTATGATATAAAACATCTTTGAAAAAAAATAGATTATTTTGTCATGGGAGCATGAAGCATGGAAAGAAAGCCATGAGTTCGATGCCAGCCTGGGGTACACAGTGAAACAGCAATCAAACAGCAGCAACAACAACAAACAGAAAGATTTAGTTTGACATTAGACAATTAATACTGATATGTGAATTGAGACTCCGATTGCTGAAGAGGGAAGGTGCTCTGAGGTGGGACTACATGAACAACTGGTGTCCCTGGCAGATTCCAAATTATATTCAAATTAAAGCCCCTATCTCATAATTCTCTTAGGACATGGAGGAGGAGAAGAGGAAGGAAACTGAAGAAAGAAAAGGATGAAGAAGAAGACATAGAAGGGGTGTGTGTGTGTCTGTGTGTGTGTGTGTGTGTGTGTGTGTGTGTGTGTAACTTCTTTCTACCTAAGATGTATACAATTTTTTAGCATCAGTGTTTCTTTTGAATTAGTGTTTTATTCTAAGGAAGGATAGTATATGGACCTGCGGCTTCGTTATAACATGTAGTATGATTGATAACTATCTGAAGCTGAACACAGACATCTGCAAAATGACACACAGGCAAGTGAAGTGTCTACGTGGGAAAAATGGGAGGTTGCCCGGGCAGTATGAAGGACCTGGAGAATTGGGATTTTTACCACAAGTGGAATGCAGGCTTACTAGGAGAAGCAAAAGCGTGCTGGAAACTCAACTTTTCTCCCTAGATCTCCTTGGGGTGTCTCTGGGTACTCATACTATTTTAAATAGAAGACAGATGGTTGGACTTGGTAAAAAGAGGTTAGGACATTTGCCTGTGCTGAATCCAACATGTAGCTGCCAGACCTGGGCAGTAGTAATTTATCTACCTCTCTTTCTGAGAAGACCTTTGTGCAGTGAACCTCCATATCACTCTTTGAAAATGTGTCTATTCTGAGCAGGTACAGACAAAAGTTTGTGTCTTGTCTTTGTCTCTGTAGTGATACAGAATGGCACGTTTACTGCTACTGTGTTTAAAACAGCCTAGAGGTGATTTAGAGTGTACAAAAGGACCTGGGTAAGAAATACCAAATAAAATGTCATTTTATCTAAGAGACTTGGGAACCCACTAATTACAGTATCCATGGAAGGTCCTGGAACCAATCCCCCAGGGATACTGAGGTGCAACTGTGTAGTCAGTCTTGGTGTCTCATGTAGAAGCTCTTCTGCCAGATGAGTCAGGAGCCACAGGAACTGAAAGGGTTAAAGATGTAAGCAAAGGGTGATTGAGGAACCCTCCTGAAGGAAAGGACATTGGAGGCAGCAATTGTCAGCAGCTGCAGCCTTTGAGTGAGGAAAGGAGGCAGAGACCACTCTGGGGGCTCCTGCAGCTTCCTGACCCCTCTTAACAAAGCTACTCTTTATAGTAATTTTACACTTCCTGCTACTGCTGATGTTGGATATAACCTCACTGTGGCAGGGTTGAAAGCCAGAGGCTTCCTGAGTGTGTTTATAGCCCAAATGGGCCAGCCTACAGCACCCTTTGGAGAGGAAAGCATGGTATAGATGTTGTCCAAGGCCCCACTAAGGTACTGTTTGTTCTGCTTGCTTGACTTTCTAGGGTGTGTATTGTTGGTGAGCGTCTGTGCCCTGTGGGACACCCCGTTCCAGGGGCTTGATCTCCTATTTTATCTATCCATCTTTCTCATTTGGCCATGTCATCAAGTGGCTTTGGGTCCTAATTAGCAAGTGGTCATTTTCCTTGCTGTTCTGTCTCTCATTTTCTCTCTGTACATGGTATGTGGGGTCTTGAAAGCCCCAGGCTTTCAAAATGCTTACACTGATTGTTTTTGTAATTTAAATGCCTTTTATTGAAGGGCAACATAGTACAAAGAAATGCATATCATAAAGGGAGAGCTTAGAGACTGTCACCAACTGAACATAGCCATATGACTAACACCCATCCCAGGAATCATGGTCCCTACAAGTACCCATGAGTCTCTTCTTGGTTGACCACCCTCTCTTCCAGCCCAGAGTGACTTCTAACCATCTGGATCAATTTTCCATATTTCAAAGAACTTCATATGAATCGAATCAGAGAGAACATGCTCATTTGTTTGTCTGTCATGGTCATAAGATGGGAAAGGTCCATCTCCATGAGGATAGATGCTGCATAACACCCTATACTCCATTCATTCTACTAATGGTGGATTTTTGTTTTGGGGGTTGTTGTGCTTGTGTGAACATTAATTCCACAAATGGTAGATATTACCATGTTGGGGTTAGTGTGTGTGTGTGAACATTAATTCTACAAATGGTAGATATCAACATTCTAGGGTTGTAGTGTGTGTGAACAGCGTTCTGCCTCCTACTGAGGGCTGGTAGTTTAGAAAACGCAGTCTGGAGAATAGGGGGTTTCCCTGTCTTATCACCGTGTTTCCGTAGCTAGCAGGTGGCACTTGAGCAGGCCATCCTAAATGCAGGCCATAGCTGACCAGACCCGGCTCACACAAGAACCCTAGAATTACAGAGAATGACGAATCCTCTTACCATCACCAGGCAATGGTCATCCCCCCTGATGCTGTCCTCTCTCCTGCTCACAGGCGCGGTGTCCTACACCTGCATGAGAGTAGTGGGATCCATGATATCGGCCTGCCTCAGTGGCAACTGCTGCTCTGCCTGATGGTCGTCATTGTTGTCTTGTATTTCAGCCTCTGGAAAGGAGTGAAGACATCAGGAAAGGTAATGTCTCTGTGCCTCTTCAGCTGTGAGGGTAGTCTTGGAAAGACACACAGGTGGTGTGTGCACGCACACATGCATGCGTGCATGCAGAGTGTGTGTGTGTGTGTGTATTCTCCTAGCCACAACCATGTGGCTAGTGCAAAGAGGCGGGTCTAGGAGCACAAGTTCAGGTTGCATTCTCATCCGTCTCTATGTAGACAAATCTGTTACCCTAGAGCCCGACTTTGCCCAACGGCAGGGTAAAGGGCTGCAACTGGATCAGGCCTCCTTACATTTTTTCTTGAAAACTTCTATAATAGCAGAGATCAGAGCCTGGGCACCCTCGAAGGTCTGAGACCAAGGTTAAAACAACTACTGACTGATCTTTGGCCTTGAATTCTCACCTAAAACTGCATGTATGCATTGCAGCTTACTTGGGAAATTGACAATTTGCTTTACTATAGACTCAGTAAGTCCATGCTGAATGTTTGGAAGAAAATGTTTTGAAAGGTAATTAGATGTGTGCCTTGGTTCTAATACATTGCTGGGTTCCCACACTAGACACTTAGGAAAAGAATACAGGTTAGCAGTTCAGTGAGGTGGCATTTTGAACTTGGATGCTGCTGCCTTCTGTGGTCACCTCTCTGAGATGGAGTATATTTAGGGAGTGGCTCCTGATGATTCTTAGCTTGGGGATTAATATAGGAATAACAATCTCCCAGGGACTGTATGCAGTCTGGAAGAACTCAACTGTAATTCAAGTGATATAGCTAGGAAGTGTTCTTTCTAATGTTTTGTTTAGATAAGGCTTTGGAACAAGCCCCATACCTAAGAAGAGAGAGTTAAAATGGCAAACATCTTAATCCTGTTTCAATTCTGAGAATTGACTGGGCTCGGACGGATGGTTTTTCCACTCTGTGTGCTACTGCCTGGGCCATATGACTGGAGACCTGACTAGACTGGAACATCCTAGCTGGTTGAGGCTGTCTGAGAGCTGAGTTGGAGCTATCAGTCAGTGGTGTGGGATTCTTTCTGTGTAGCTTTTCTGTGCTTCCTGGACATCTCACGTCATGACAGTCGACTTCCCAGAGCACACTTCACGCAGAAGAGACCCTGTATGAAGTAGTTCTTCCAGTTTCTATTTGCATCATGTTTGCTCTTTGTCTCAATGTCAAAATCAGTCCAGGATCACTGTCATCTAACGTTTGGCACAGAGTAGGTCTTAGTAAATGCTTAGTAATGGGTTGAAAGATGAGTGGGTAAACTTCAGGGACTTTATTAAATACTTAGCTCAACTTACTATGCTTTTATGGACACCTACTATGTGCTGTTTTAGATGCGAAGACTAGCAGTATATAAATAGAAGACAGCTTTCCTCCATTTCTTTCTCCTGTTTGTGTTCCTGATGGGCTTGTGGTTGACCCAGAGGTGCAGTATTTTGAGTGTCTATCCAGAAGTATCTATCTGTAGCCTCCTTAAAGTAATCACTTGTGGCCACAAATTACACTTGTCATTGTGTAGTTTGCTTTTTTGTTTTAAACTTAACATTACCCTTAGAAATAATTTTACATTAGGCAGTCAGTTATTCCTTAATAAAAAATATAAACTGTAGGCTTTTAAGGTATTATTAAGCTAACTTAGCAGGTAGCTACATCTCACCAGATAGACGAAGCTAGTTGAATGTTTGACTTGAGGTAGGCAATATTTCTTACTATAGATCATGGTCAGAAAGTCAGAGATGCTGCATTTGCAGGCAGTGGACGCTCTGTCAGCCGAGAGAAAGGTGTGCAGAGAAAGTGATATTTGTGCTACCCCTGTCCGGACAGGCATGGGTAGAAGTGAGAAAAAAGGGAAAGAGTTTCTCTGGAAGTACCTGTGAGCAAAGTTGTCAAGGTGTGGAAGCCCTGGACAAGCCCTGCTTAGGTTTCTCTGTGCTGCCCTTGGCACCAGGAGCAGGCCACATAGCCCATCCTATGAGCTGTAGAAGGTGAATGTGAACCACTAGTATTCTAATACAGAGCCCAACCTTGTTCCTCCCAGTCATGAGCAGACCATACGCTGCCTACAGGGAGCCTGGTGTTACCAAGCTATCAGCAGGAGCAGTAGTGCTTGAACATGCTCTGTTCCTCTTGCTGAATGTACTTTCTGAATTGAGGAGTGTTTCACCATCAAAGCACCAACCATGTGGAGACACGAAGAGGGATGTGCTTGGTCCTGCAGAGTCAACTAAAACCAGGGTTCTCATCTGTGTAAGTCCCCCTGAGTTATGAGGTTTGAGCACATAGAGGCCTCAGGTAGTCCGTGAGGAAGTTATTTCTAGAATCAGCTTCACATGGGACATTCCAGTACCCTGTCTTTAATTGTTTCTTATAAACTGGCTGATGAGGAATCTGAGAATATTGCTTATTTCTTTCTGGAAAAGCACACAAGTTTTTCTTAGTTATTCTCCAGAGTCACAGAGGACGCCTGGAATGAGTAAAACATGTGCAAGTGAAGATGATTTGGAAGGACGATTTGTTGACTGCTTGACTCTTGGGAAGGTGGGAGCAGGGCACAGTCTGAGCTGGGGTGAGGGGGTACCGCAGACCACACACACAGTGGCAGCTGTGTTGGCCCAGTGACCACTTCAAAGTAGAAGGGTGTCAGAAGAGATCAGGAGCAGGGCCTGCCTCCCCCTCTTCTGAGTTCCCACACAATCTGTTTACACACTCCACCACACTTTGAGAAAGCTCAGAGGCTCCTCTTCCAGGGAGACGAGCTGGGATGACAGAGCTGGCCAGATCCAGCCATTCCTCATTATCTGCTTCACTGCCAGCTTTTGGGCTTCTTGGAAGATGGGAACACATAGGCCATTGGAATAGATGGACGATGTCCTGAATTCTAGCAGATGCAGTAGAATGGGAAAAGAGAGAAAGCCAGACAAATTTAGAGATTATTTGAGCTTTAGAAAATTTAATTGATTAAAAAGCTTTGTAGTTGCCGCTGCTGTGATTTGCATTTTCGTTTGTGGTCAAGGCAAAATTCTAGCTGTCTTCCCCCTTCTGTGTCAATCCAAGCTCATCCTGGCTTGCCTTCATGAGTTGACCTGACTAAGTTACACAGAGCAGAGTGATTTGCACATGATCCATGCTTACACTTAACTATTTATAGCACCCTATTTTCTTAAGCAACATTACCGTTATGCCATACCCTATAAATTCTTGTCTATAAAAAACTATCTTCATTGTTAGTGAAAATGGGCCCAAAATTTGGTTCAAAGACTACAAATCCTAAACCTGGAAAAGCTAATGAAGTTTTACAGGGATACAGAGTGGACATGATTTTGTTATTTATTCTAGTTCTTATTTGTGTGCCCATGTGTATGTTTGTATGTGTGTTGGGTGTCTATATGTATTTGGATGTGTGTGGACTTGTAAGGCCCAAAGGGAAGACTTTAGATTGTCATCCTTGAGCACTGTGCTTGGTTTTACTTGTTTGTTTGTTTGTTTGTTTGTTTGAGACATGGTTTCTCACTAGTCTGGCACTTGCCAAGTAGGCAAGGCTAGCTGGTCACAAACTGTAGGGAGCTTTCTCTTAGGAGTATGGGTATCTATATTCCCAGTTTTGGAGCATGACCACCACCAGAGCTTCTCCAATTTCAGGTCTAACATGACCCCGAGGAGCACCCTGATAAAGCTCAGGTTTCTTTCTTTCTTTCTTTCTTTCTTTCTTTCTTTCTTTCTTTCTTTCTTTCTTTCTTTCTTTTTTTTCGAGACAGGGTTTCTCTGTGTAGCCCTGGTTGTCCTGGAACTCACTCAGTAGACCAGGCTGTCCTCGAACTCAGAAATCCACCTGCCTCTGCCTCCCAAGCACTGGGATTAAAGGTGTGCGCCACCACCGCCCGGCTAAAGCTCAGATTTCTGATCTTTCCTGCAGAGAATCTATTTGGTATGGATGGGATAAGAGGCTCCCATTTCTGATGAGGTTTTGGATGACATCAATGCTAGTGATCTATGGACATCACCTTGACCAAGGTTATCCTTGGGCTGATACCTGGATGCATGGCAAGGCTTTAGGCTTGCATATTTTCAATAATGGAACCTTAGCCTCTCCCTGGACAACTTTGACTGGAGAACCCTACTATCTGGTGGTTTTTTCTTTTATGAGCCACAGGCCAGTCTTCCTCAGTTTTACGATCAGCTATTAGATTAAATTTGGTACTGTAGAACATCAGAGATTATCCACAGACACATCTAAGTGGGTCATAATTGATGTTCCAGGATGGACATAGTGGAACATGCCTCTAATCCCAGCATCTGGGAAGCAGAGTAAGGCAGATGCCTATGAGTTTGAGGCTAGCCTGGTCTATGAAAGCAGGCTAACCAGGGCCACCTAGTGACACCATGACTCAAAAAAAAAATCAAAACCAAATAACAGCAACAAAAAAAAAGTGTGTTCGAAGTGACAAAGAAAAAGGAAAAGAAAAAAGAGTTACTCATTTTGGTTTTTGTCTCATGCTGAAAAGGAAGTCTGGGATGGAGATAGCAGAGCTCATAGGTCTCTTCCTTTGCTGTGTGTACAGGAGAGCACACGGATGTGAGGAAGATGTCTTCTAGTTTTTGACAAATACCCTAGATGTCTGAAAACATGTTTGCCACTAAAAGCTTTAACTTTGAATGTGTGGGCATTTCTTGATGCTTGACACACTCACTGTCAGCTCTATCATAACCACATATGTTCCTTCAGAAAACTAAATCTGTGTTGGAGCCACATTCATGGCCAGTGTAGGAGCTCCTCAGGATCCATGGGAGATTCCTTGGAGTCAGAACACTGGGTGCTGTTTTCATGGGAGGAGTGTGGTCACACCCAGCCTCCTGGGCAGGACAGTGCATCTGGGCCACAGCTGTTGACATGAGTGGCAGGAAACTGTAACTGTTAGGATAAGGATGGATAATGGCTCTTCTTTGTTCTTGTTGCCAAGGGTTGGGATCTACTTGCCCCAGTTTGAGAAACTGAATCATCTGAGACCAGTATGAGGCCACCCAGATGCAACAGTCTCTCTTTCAAGGGCATGGTTTTCTCCCCCATTTGTTATCAAGTTTGTCTGCCATGTTTCTGCTGCACCCATGACTCCTCAAAGAACACAGACTCCAAAGCCCATGTTCTCAAAGATATTCATAGAACTGGGGAGTGACTGACTGGATGCCATAAAGTAGGAGAGTTGTCCTCGTTCCCTCTGAACCAGATGTGCTCACCACTGGAAAGTCTACTCACTGTGTTTCCTTTCGCACTCATTTGCTCATGATTTCATTCTTCTGTTGACTGTCATTCACTAACCTTCTGGTTTGTAACTCATCTGCTCTTGCATTCTTCCATTCCTTCACTCAACCATCTGCCCACTTAGCTACCCATCCATCCATTCATTTAACCAAAGCCCATTCTACATCCCGCCATCTGTCTCATTTTCTAATGCAACCTTTCATACCTATGACTGTTCATTTACTCACCTAACAAACATTTTAAAAGAACCATATATCCTGGGAGTAAGAAAATCAGGAAGATAAATTCCAGCCTCTAAACATGAGTATGGAAAAATGTGGGAGTTTGACACTAATATGTCAATTTTTGGTTTGGCCCCACATCTTTCTAGGCTGACAAAGAACGTTAGTCTCAGCCATGTCCTACCCAGGGTGGTGTATGAATTCTTTAGGAGGCAGAGTTCCTGAGCTGTAGGGAAAGAACAGCTTGGTCTTTAAGCTATATGTCCATTCCTGTTTCAACATTGTCTTCTTTAGGTCTGACTACCCAGCCCTGACCCAGTTTGGTGCACAGCTTTTCTGCAAAGAAAATGCTACAGCCTACATTTCTATCAAGAGTGAAGACATTAACCTTAGCTACACATTGACCTCAGTTGGGAAAAAATACTGGAGTTGAGACAGTACCTTAGACCATTTAAACCTCAAATCCCAGGACTGGGGATTGTCTTCCACATTCTTGATTATAACTCCCCCGGAGTACTTTAATGTGTCAAGAGCATGAAGGATCAGTGACATTGACAACCCTCCTGGTCACTCCTTTCTCTGGTCCTTCAAGTAAGGGAAGGGTGTCGCTATCTGTTTTGAGTCTGAAGGTAATTTCTTCTCTTTTGTGTTTCTGCAAAGATACTTTGTCTTGGTCTCAATCTGCTCCTACTGAAATGGAGAATTTTTTTTCTCTGTTTTCTGCCCAGTAGCATGTACCAGACTTGAGAGGATGTACTGAAAATATGAATAAAGAAAAAAAAGAGAAGCTAAGTTTTATGTACATGTTTGTAATCCCAGCACTTGGGAGACTGAGGCAGGAGGACCATGAATTTGAGAGAGCCTGGGCTACAAGTGAGGCAGTGTCTCATAAAGAAAAAAAATGTATTTCAGTACTAGAGTGTTTGCTTGACGTGTGGAAAGCTCTGGGTTCTACCCTCTGGGCTCTGTTCTCAACACTGAAGGAAATAAAAGCACATATACATAAAGAAGGAAGGACTAAAGGGGAAGACGAGCAGCAAAGGAGGGGAGGGAAATAGGGAGGGGGAGGACTGGAACTTTTAAATACCCTGCCTGAAAGTTGGGTGTAACAACCCATGTCTGTAGTGTGACAGAAGCAAGGCTGACAGGGCCGATACCACCTTACATTGTGAGTGTGCTTGATTCCATATAAAATAGTGCAAAGCAGTCTCGAGAGGCAGCTCTGTTGAGAATGAGCCATTAGGGGCTTTGAGAACCTAGTTTTTGCTCTTGGTGACCTAGCTTCCATCTCATCTCTATTCTCTCAGTGACTGACTCCATCAGTTCTGAGCTTCTCCAAGGGAGTCCTGCATCTCTTCATTGTTCTGTCCCTTGGGTCCAAGGTTCTGACCCTGACGGCACCTCCAACACCAGGAGAAGAGAAGTGGTGATGGCATGTTTGCAGTTCAAGAAAAGACCTGGTGTCCTTGTCCTAGTACCTCCCCAGGTCATGGTCAGGGTAGGATTCTAACAGCCATCTTGTCTATTGCTCAGGTTGTCTGGATCACAGCCACCCTGCCTTACTTTGTCCTATTTGTGCTCCTGGTCCATGGCGTCACACTGCCTGGTGCCTCCAATGGCATCAATGCCTACCTGCACATTGACTTCTACCGCCTCAAGGAGGCCACAGTGAGTGCCCAGGGACCAAGTACCTACTCAATAGCCAAGTGGAGGGAGGGTTTTTAGGATTGGGAGGTGACAAGTGCAGTAACACAGCATTAAGAGAGACACATTTAAATATGCTTCTTTCTTAGTTGAGTGTCTAGCTTACCACTATGCTGTAGATCAAGGACCAAGAAGCAGCCTCTTTCCTGTGTGACTCTTAGGAAGATGATAGCCCACAGGCCACAGGTCACCTTGAAGCTTGTGAAACAGAGCAGGGTTTTGTGGGTTCTGCACCTGTTTAGCTTCCCTTCACCCAGTCAGCTATGCAGGCACTGAGTCCTTCATGCAGTCTCAGTGAAAGGATCTGCCTTCTCCCCATTATAGTGGAAGGTTTGGGGAAATCCAGAATAATATCAAGTAGAGACATGGCAGATATTATCCCACCTTAGTTTAGGTGTACAGATATAATTATCATGTATTATATGTAATATATACAATATACACCTATGCAAAATATAAATATTATAATAAATAAATAAATAGATAGTGTATCTCCAACCTTGCATATTGGAGAGGTGAGACTGACTATAAAGGGCCAAACCATTATATATAGAGATTGGAGAAGCACTTAAATCTTTAGTCTACCAGCCATCTACTTTTGTTACCATGGAGGGTGGATAGAGAAGTAAACTCCATTGTGTCCAAAGGCTCCTATTGGTTGCCACCATCTACATCAAGAAGTCCAGTAGAAGTCACTATCTTCCTAAGATTCCATCTTTATAACTCCTGAGATGGACAGAACCCTTTGGTCTTGCCCTGTCAACATTCTAGCCTAGAATTTCTAGTTTGTTACATTACTTGAAAATCTGGGGATTAAATGGATCCATTGGGATCCACCAGGACATGATTACTCTGGTGTCTGATGCCAGGAGAATCTAGGAAGATTCCAGGATGTTACTATAGCTGTCTATGTCTGCTTCAGACCACATTTCCTAGTCTACAGCCCTCTCGGGGTGGTTGTCCAGTCTGTAAGAAGTAGAAATGATGATGAGTTTTGTTTACTGGTTTCAGGTATGGATTGATGCTGCAACCCAGATATTTTTTTCCCTGGGGGCTGGATTTGGAGTCTTGATTGCATTTGCCAGTTACAATAAATTTGACAACAACTGTTATAGGTAAGTACCCTTTTAGTGCTTGCCAGCACTAGAAATCTTGTTGTTGACTCTTGTAGGAACTGAGAGGACTTTATCTAGACGAGACTGTCCCCTGTAGACCATCCTGGTCATTCTGAGATCCTTGATGTGGTCCAAGGAGAAGATTTAAATAGAAGACACATCTTGGGAAAGTTGAGGTTAAGCAGCTATAGGAGCCCATAGGGAAGGCTCACTGTGACTGAGGAGACTGTGACTGAGGAGCACAGCATGACTTCAAGAGATGATGAAGCTGTCTGACTTTGTTCTTCAGACACTCTGTCATGAACGGGCAGAAAGAATAGGCTTGTGAGGGCTAGCTAGCTCAGAAGTAAGACTTCAGGCAGACAGACATAAAAGAGACCTCCAGTTTGGATCAATGAAAACCTAATGCTACCTCTTCCAGACCCTGTGCTATGGGGACTTTAGAGCTGGGAAAGATTTGGGTCTCCCTCTCTCATTCCATTTAACAATTAAGGCAGAGTAACTATCTTTGATTCAAGAAAGAACAGGATGAACGTTCAGCCGGGAGAGGTTTTAGAAAATGGGGTGGCCATTCCCTTAGTAGGCTGCCACCATTAAGAGCCTGGCAAGTCTGGGAGGATAGTTGAGATTACGGTAGGCAGATGTAGAGTGGATGGCATAAGTTATGGTAAGGAGTGGCATTGGCATGGACAAGGACAGGAGGGAGTGTGTCTGTGGATTAATGAGCTGCTTTGTTGTGCTTGCTAAGACAAGTATATGCTAAAGGTCATTAGAAATAAGACAAGAAGGAAGGGTGTCTCATCTTAGCAACACTCTGAAATGACGATGCAAGGAGGTAGGAGACAGAGGAAGACAGAGTTTACTTATGGAAAGAATAACTCTGATCCCCAAGAGTTTACTGCATGCTTTTGGTTAGCTCTTTGCTATGCACTGAACCAAGTACTTACCCAGGGATGGCAAGGCTTTGGAGTCCATGTGATGGGAGGACAATGGAAAGGAGGGATTACCGTTGAGGCTGGATCAGGCTGAAAGTTCCATAGATGGCCAGTGGTTTGTGGGCAGAGTAGGGATGGAGTCATGTGGACTGTCATTAGCAGCCTCTCTCTCTACCAGGGATGCTCTGCTGACCAGTACCATCAACTGTGTTACCAGTTTTATTTCTGGATTTGCCATCTTCTCCATCCTTGGTTACATGGCCCATGAACATAAGGTCAACATTGAGGATGTTGCCACTGAAGGTAGGTGGCCAAACCACTTTGCTTCCAGCTAAATGAAGAAAGACTGAGCTGGTTTCATAATGCCTCTGTAGTTGGAGAAGACTGGCTAAGGAGATTTCTGGACTCCTATCTGTTGGACTTTCCCTTGAGGCTGTCACCCTGGCAACCTTAGCTAAATTACACCCCTGGAAGTCCAGAGCGTGGAGATTGGTTATCAGTTAGACTTCTATCATAGGTCATATCTGTTTATCTTACTGTAGGAAAGTAGTAGAAATGTCTGTGGGTCAAAAGGATCATCCTTGTCGGGACATCCCTGATTTATAGCAACCTACTCCCTGAAAGCCTGTTTAACTCTTAGAAAGTAGGAACTCCCAAAAAAAGAGGTTTAATTTCACTAACATCTAATTAAATCTTTAAGGTCCTCAGCCCTCTTGACATCACTATTTTGGGGAGCAAGCCTGGGCACAAAGTTCAGTGGGGATAAACTACATTCAAAACATGGCATTGTAGTTCTACGTAGTTCTCACAAAGCTGCAAGGCAGGGGTTAATAGATTCTCTTTAAAGATGAAGGATTGAGGATGTAAGCTGCATATGAGCTAGTGAGAGGTGATGTTAGCATTTGACCCCAGACAGCCTGACTCTGGAACCTGTGTTCTTCTCCATGGCCTTCTGTATTCTTAAGGCCATAAGGAAGAGGAGACCCTGGGAAGGGCAACCTTTAATGGATCCTGAGTATCATGAATTTCTGAGAATCAGAGTAGAACTCCACAGAGTGGAAGGCAGGTTGGCCACACATGACTTAAAGCTGTTCAGGCAAGATACTGCTCTCTCTGCTGCTTGTTTGATATACAGATTGTGTTCCTTGGTTTTGTATTACTAGTAACAAAGTCCTCAAGCTAACTGATGTATGAAGTTACAGGGTTACTTGACTCACAATGTCTAATTGGTGCTCTTGCTTTGGGGCCTTCGGTGGGACCACATGGTGGAACAATCTGTTCATCTAACGGGCGAGGTGTAAAGCAGAGAGAGGAAAAAGAGCTTGGGTCCCAGGATCTCCTACAAGAGTGCATCCTCAAAGAGTGGAAGACTACATTGGGCCTCATTTCTTGAGGTTCAAATCGCTACACAATTGCGCCAGCTGGAGATCAAGTCTGACACAGGGCAGCTTAGGAAACAGAGATTCAGACAATAGCACAACTGAATTGTGGCTCCATCACTCATTCCAAGATCCCAAGTCTGTGCTGCCCACCCATGCCTGACCAAATGTCCTGAGGCTAGGGTAGAGCTCCTATGCTCTGTGCAGTCTTTATTGAGCATGTCAGCCATTGATCAGGTCCTAATATTTCTTACAGGAGCTGGCCTTGTGTTTATCTTGTATCCGGAAGCCATCTCTACTCTGTCGGGATCCACGTTCTGGGCTGTCCTGTTCTTCTTGATGCTCCTGGCTCTGGGGCTAGATAGCTCAGTGAGTGATGATCCTTCTCAGAACACCTTTCTCCACCCCTGCAACCCATACCAGCACTCAGCCTTGCAGGGCTGCTGCTGTCTGGTGTCTGTTTTAAAGGGCACTATTTTAATCCAAACAATGAAGTGAGTCTCCCTTCCAAATGACAGCCTAGATCAAAGCCAGGAACCTAGAGGAACTCCAAAGTGTACTGGGCCTCAGACACACCAGCCCAACATTCTGCTTGTGCAGATGGGGACTTCAGAAAGGTCATGAATAGAACGTTCTGTGGCCAGGCACTTGCCCGTTCTTTATATTTTATTACTGACAATCAACTCAAACATTTTGGACCCCGTTTTGTTACTAGATCTCTGCTTTATTTTTATTATTATTATTATTTAGTCATGTGCCTGACATCTTTTTTATGTCTGTTTCCACCATTCATTCTTAAATGACATAGAGAGGGGCCAGCCAAAGGATCTTACTGCCTTTGCTTTTCACTTTGGTGGATCTGCCAGAGCAGTGTGTTGGAAAGGGGTCTGAGGCTGATTCCAGATCCCAGGATAAAGTACTGGTGTTGATTAACAATGTCTACCAAGGACAGAGAGGAGGAGCAAGAGACATGTGTGATTATTGTCTGCCACAACAGTGGCTCACAAGGAATAGACTCCAAGAGTCTGTATTTAAAGTGATCACTTTTCTTGGGGATTCAAAGGGAACAAGGAACTCTTGTCATTTACTGTAGAATAAAGTTTCCACTTTGGAGAAGTTATTTGGTTGATGTTTCCAGAAGGCCCTATTTGCATGTGCGTGTATCATTTGGGAACTGTATCCCTTACTCTTTATTCCTCATTGGTACCCACTTAGGCTGGGGTCAGGGACTTGTGCTGAGGCAGGCAAGAGTTAGCTCTTCACCATCCCATTTAACCTGAACTTGGTTGAATTTGGGGTAGAAAAAGGGAAAAGATGCTTGGGAGGACGGCAGGGTCTGTTATTTTCTGGAAAGTAACTGAGGTGGATACTGAACCACAAGAACCCCTTCATCTGTACCCTACCTTCCTGGTTCTCTATAGATGGGAGGCATGGAAGCAGTCATCACTGGACTGGCTGACGACTTCCAGGTCCTGAAGCGACACCGGAAACTCTTCACGTGTGTTGTCACCATCAGTACCTTTCTTCTGGCATTGTTTTGCATAACCAAGGTGAGGCTGGACATGAGACAGTCTCGGGCTTTCTAGGACTGTGTTTCAAAAAATCCAGACATTCAGCCTTGGTATTGGGGTGGGCTAGGTGAGGCTGAGCACAACGGCTCTGTTAAACAGTCCATCTGTAAGACTGTAGATCCCTTTGCCTTCTGCTACATCTGGGGCTGATGAGCTTCAAGCACTATTATTTACCACTCATTGACTTAGAGCCAGCAGAAGTTTCTTGGAAGCTTATCGTACTGCTCATCAAACAAAACACTTCCAGCCAGCAGCTCCTAGAGCCGTTGGTTAAAATGCAGACATACTGAGTTGTACCTTAGCCCTGTCATCACGTGTGTTTGTAAACAGGACCCTGAGCAGTTGGGAATAAGGATGGGTAGAATTTGGTAGATGTAGTCAATGTGACTCTTTATAGCCAAGGATGACTTAAGCCCTTTCTCTCTGTGCCCCAGGGAGGGATTTATGTCCTCACTCTGTTGGACACCTTTGCAGCAGGCACCTCCATTCTGTTTGCGGTGCTTATGGAGGCTATTGGAGTTTCCTGGTTTTATGGTGAGTGAGTGCTCCAAGTTTTGCTCTCTAGGGCTTCTGAAGTCTGTTTTGTCTGGAAGGGGACAGGGATTTTTCATGTTCAGGATAGCCATCTGGGTGGGTCTCCAGAGGTCAGAAGCTCCTGTTAAATATAGGTCTGAGTTTCGTGCAATCTGAAGCTCATTGGGCTTTAAGACCTGGGAGATACCCAGTACCAGTATCTGAAATAGAATCAGTAGAGAGCTGCAGATCCCCAAACCAGACAGCTTGAACAAACAAAACAGGATGCCCAGCTAAACTTGAACTTCAGTTGAAAAAATGAACCTACAGTTTTAGATCTATAGAACCCAACTATTGCATAGAATCTATTGATGCTGACTTTTTCTATTATGTGTCTGAACTTAAAATTTAAATAGATATCCTATATTTTATTTACTAAACCATCCAATGTGTCATAACTGCTCATTTTCCCTTGGTTAATCTCATTCTTACTCTTTTGGGAAGAGATCATGGTGAGAGAGTTTGATAGTCTCTTTTAGATTCTGGTTGAGGGTGTCCATGTGCATGAACATATGGACAGATGGACTTTTCACAGAAAGTCTATGCTAGAGGAAAGAGCCAGGCTGGGATGGAGGCACCTGGCTTCTCAGTCTTCTCCCTTCTCTGAGCTCTGGCTTCCATCTTGTAAGATAATCAGAGTGACACATGCAAGATGACTCAGTCCCAGAGTTTGTCCTCTCCCTTGTTTGCCATTATTGAAGTGTGTGCCAGGTTTCCTGCATTTCACAGTGTCAATCTCCTGCCACCTTGCCCTGCACTCTGCCAGAACCTCATGGAATGCCTTCAGGTGGAGGCCCCAGTCCTGCATCTCTGGGCTCTCTGTGACACGCTTGCTCCATGTGCTCACAGGTGTGGACAGGTTCAGCAATGACATCCAGCAGATGATGGGGTTTAAGCCAGGCCTGTACTGGAGACTGTGTTGGAAGTTCGTGAGCCCCGCCTTCCTCCTGGTGGGTAGGGTGCGCCTGAGGTACCTGTTGGTAGGGTGGGTGAGGCCAGGTTGGGGGTAGGGTGTGCGTACTTATTGTCTAAGGGAGGAGATCCTGGGATCTGGAAGTCCTGGTCATGCAGGCCTTAGTGTGGGTGAAAGCTATTCCACCTTAGGGGTGTCCAGTCAGGTCCTCCAGGTGATGTCGTGCTGGCTCCAACCTCACTTTCATTTCTCCTCCCGTTTCTTCCTGCCTCCATCTTCCCTCCCTGCCCGCTCCCTTCCTGCAGTTTGTGGTGGTGGTCAGCATCATCAACTTCAAGCCGCTCACCTATGATGACTACGTCTATCCTCCCTGGGCCAACTGGGTTGGGTGGGGCATTGCCCTCTCATCCATGATCCTGGTACCTGCCTATGTCATCTACAAGTTCTTCAGCATACGGGGCTCCCTTTGGGAGGTGAGCTCTGAGTGGCTTGTGGGATGGGATGGGAGGTGGCTGTTCTGTTGAAGCAAGATAGAGATAGAGGATACTCATTTGCAGAGAAGATAACCCATCCCGAGCCTCGGTTTCTATATCTGTAACCTGAGAATAATACAGTGTAGCTTGGAAGAGAAGGACACTTGAGTACTAAGTAATGAGCTTGGCCCATGGGAAGTACTTCATGCATTCTGCCTGCCAGTACTACTGCTGTTTCTGCTGTTCACACAAAAAGGCAAAGGTCAGCCATGCCTGTCCCCTTTAATGTGTGTAATGTCATCAGATATCCCATCTCTTCTTGTCTGAGCCTGCTACCATTTTTCTAATCATTACAATATGATCAGCCTAAACCAGGGGTTTCTGAACTTGTTATTTGTGTGTGTGTGTGTGTGTGTGTGTGTGTGTGTGTGTGTGTGTATTCATACACACTCACTCACTTCTGACTTAGTTATGTTATGACGCTCATTATTTGGCCGTTCAAACTAGTGCTGGTGGCCTTCTCAAATATCCCTACTTTGTAAGGCAAAAACCTCACCCCTGGGCTGCTTTCTCTGGGCTCCTGAGGCTCCCTTCCTTCTCCTTCTCACAGAGAGTGGCCTACGGCATCACCCCGGAGAATGAGCACCATCTGGTGGCCCAGAGAGACGTGAGACAGTTCCAGGTAAATGCAGAGCTGAACTTGGGTTAGGTGGGGCGGGATGTGATGGGTTCTGGTTGTACCCTGTTGGGTGCCCTCAAGCAAGATCACAGGAAAGTCCAAGATGGCAGCCACCTTCATTTTAGGGACCAAGGTGAAGGGGGCAGGAGGTGAGACTGCTGTATCTCTAGCCAGCCTAGAGATTGTTGCTGTTCTGTTTTCTAGTCCTGGGATGCCAGGTGCTGGCGTTTTATTCTGACTCTGGGTTGTCATGTTAGTGTCACCAAACTAAGCTGAGCATTTTATACCTTTAAGACATAGTTGCAGGGCATTAATAATGTGTTGCTGGTCTAGGCAGTGAGGGTGGTACCTGCCCACCTCCTCCTTTTGGGGTGGTTCCTTTGCATCCAGCCTTAGCACCAATGAGGGAAGATACTCTGAGGTCTGTGCCAGTAAGAAGGCTATTTGTTTTGTCTGCTTTTTGCTTCATGTGGCTCCAACCAGCTGGCCCCTTGTCCTCCAAGTCCCATTGTCTCTGTCCTCACTATAGTGGCCTTGCTTTCCTTTTGCAGTTGCGGCACTGGTTGGCTATCTGAACCTGGTCCTGAGGAAGAAGAGGAACCCATGTGCCAACGTCCAGGTCCAGGGCATCCACTTTGCCCCCATTCAGCACCGCCTTGGGATTCCTCTCCTGGAAGACACCTTCCCCACTGCTCTCATTTTCCCAGTTACTAATGATTCTGTGACTCTGGTTTTTTGTTCACCTTCTGTTCATCTGGCCTGGAGGCAGCAAGTGTGGTGAGCCTCAAGGAAGAGGATGGAAGGAGGAAATGGGACATGAATTCCGGAACTCTGGCTTGAGAGCATGCTTACTGCATTAGGAGCACACCTGAGCTGAAGTCCACGGCTCAGGCAGAAACCCCTCCCCAATTTGCTTGTACTTCAGATCATAAAAGAAATCGTCAGTTCACCCAGGCTGAGAGAAGATTGGCTTCTGGTTAGATATCAAAAGCCCAACCAAAGCCTGACAGGGTCTGTGTGGGGGCCAAGATGTGCAGGTTACCCATTTCTTTCCATTTATCCAGTCACCACTCTGGTATCTGAGCTTCTCTGTCTAGGAGTGGGGCTTTATTTGCACCGAAAATGCAGCTGGTAGATGTTTTCAGGTGTTTGGGCAGAAACACTCTGACTTGGCTATCTAGTTAACCAAAGGCTGGTTTTGGTATATTCTAGAATATTACTCTAACTTCTGGTGTTTGGATAGTCCCCAAACTATGATTTTAGGGGAAGAATGTAGCTGTACCACCAATGAATGAATGAATGAATGAATAAGTTCCCCAAAGTCAGATGCTTCAGAAAGGTGGTAACCACTAGACAAATCATGCCTGCCAAGGCCACCTGCTAGTCGTATTCTGTCAGACATCTGGGTACTTCCTAAGACTTTCCTAGGGATTGGGACAGGGTGCCTCTGAAGCCAGATATGTGTGCCCATCACAGGGATATCCGTCCTGTGAGGCCAGGTGGGAGTCTTAAGGCAACCTGATTGGCTGCCATGGTTCTTTATGGTCTTCCCCTGGGAACCTCAGCAGATAGGGGGTCCTGAGCAGTGGAGTCCATTGGCTCTGAAAATGGCCTGTTTCCTTATTTACTTGACTTGGCACCTTGGAGGGCATGATGGGACTTACTATAGCTCAGCACAGCCTGTCATGTCCAGGGAGAATATTCTGACTAGAGGGGCCAGGCCTCAGGAAATTCACAAGTGGCACAAACTTGCAACTAGTGCCCTCTGGTGGTTAGTTTTAGTTCATTGAGGGAAAGGATGGTTTGGTAAATTGATGGCATCTCCTAGGGATTTATGTTTCTGGTTTGAGACTTTTATGCCCTTTTTTGAAATCTAGAATTACGGATTGCCATTGTGAAAGTGGGATTGCCTTCCTAGGTTGTGTGTGTGTGTGTGTGTGTGTATGTTTGTATATATGTGTATGTATGTCTGTGTGTGTCTGTGTATATGTATGTATGTATGTATGTATGTATGTATGTATATATGTGTGTGTGCACATGCATATATATGTGTGTATCTATGTGTGTGTGTGTGTATGTGTGATTGGAGTCATGTAGGAGGCACTTGGAGAAACTAGGATGTCCCCATGTCCCATGGAGGCTGTAAAAAGAGGCCAGGTGAGGGCAGCTGGGGATGGAGAGATGGTTTATTTTGAGCACCCCAAAATTTCCCTACTGAATCAGGGTCCTTGACTTATTCCTTAGAGGAAATTTGGTCATTCCACATAAGCAGGCCAAGTCAAATCAAGTCATCCCTCTTTGACAAATGTCTTAGAGCTTTGGGGAAGGGAAGGCTTTTCCCCTCCACTGCAAGGTAGGTACAAGCTAGGGTCCTGTTATCAACTAACTCAACACTTCTCATGCGTAGTAATTACTTTCCAGTTGCTCCCTTTAAAATATTATATTATTGTTATTTAAACAATCCACGTTTACTCTTACTTCCTCCCAGCGCCCCGTAGAAAGGAAGTCTGCTTCCTCTCTCCTCACTTCGCTAGTGAGAAGATGAGAAATCTCACTTGCTCAAGGTCTCTGCTGCCTAGGGTGGACCCTTCTTCCCCATCTTGTCTTCACAGTTCAGAGCACCAGGGAACTCCGTGTTTACCCAGCCGCAGGCTGACACCAAACTGAGTACACAAAGTCCCACTTAGGGGGAAAGAGTGTTTCTTAGCAGAACAGTGTTGGGAGGAGGGCAGAAGGTTGTTACTCGTCTCCTCCCACTGGCTCCCTGAGATAAGTCGCCTTTCGAGCAGTGGGACCTGAGGAGGAAGAGTCCACCCGACTGTCTCGAGTGCACATGCTCAGAAAGCTTGAGTGCCTTGAATCAGCACTGGGCCGCCATTTTTTCGTTTCCATCTGTGTGGCCTCTTCGCCTGCAGACATTGTTCCCGGGTTGGGGGTGGGGGGGAGCAGTTGAAGTTGAAAATGTGGTGCTAGCCGAATGAGCCCCAGACTAAAGCAATGGTGCTTTGTGGCAAAGTCGGCTCCTGAGACTGTGACAAAGCGGTTCATGGCTCCAAGCCCAGGTGCTCTAGTTGGGGAGGGGCGAGACACCCAGAAAGTCCTGGAGGTTCTCACGAAGGTGCTAGGAGGTCACGTGTATTCACCTTTCCATCCACACTTGCCAGAAGGGGCTTAATGAGTTACCATAAGTAATGCTTGCCTTCTGTGTTCTGACTGTTTTTTTTTAAAGTATGGATCACCCAGGACCAGCATGTTCCTGAGTACTGTGTGTGACACTCCACACTTTTGGTAGTTTATCGGATTTTTATAGAATTGTTTTCTTTAATATGTGAGACCTTTGTTCAAGACGTTAGCATTACTCAGCCGCCACCTGCCAGTCTGTTCTAGATTCAAGTGAGACAGAAGAGAAAGTGGAGACTAAGTCACTGCAGACATCCTGTGCAACAAAGGTCCCTACCAGGTGGAAGCCAGTCCCCTGCCTCACAGTTATCCAGTCTAGATTTGCTAGATTTGGTAATGTAAGATTGACATGTTCTTACCAAAGAAATCATTTCTACCCCATTAAACTCACTCATTTCATGCGTTTGTTTATTTCTTTTAAAACTTGGCGAGGAAGTGATCAGAGTGGGTGTTTGGTGTAGTGGAAGCAGCACAGAGCTTAGAATTGATTAGGAGTGGCTCTGCAGTCAGTTAGCTATGGCTTGAGAGAGGAGCTTTACATCCTTGGGTTCAGGAGGGCACATCTGTAAAACAGGGAATATAAACCAAAATAAAGTCACCATGAAGAAAGCATGTCACCGCAGAAGCTTCCAGAAGTGACCCCATAACTAACCATCTTTGGGGCTTAGAAATAGAGATTTCTGCCTGCAGGGCTTTGATATCCCTGTATGTCCAGTGGTTCCTCTTTTTCAGAGTTTTCTTTTCATCTCATGCCAGAAAGCCTTGGTGTTTGAGAAGAAGTCAAGTCCAGCCCAGTCACTTTGCCACTTGGGTAGCTTTGAAAAAGCAGAGGGTGTCGCTCTGTCCTGTGTTTGCAGGCCTGGGGACCCTCAGCTCTGCCCAGAGGCGGGGTGCCTGGCCCTGGTTGGTGAATGTGAAGTCAGTCAGGGGTGCCTGTCCTTGCTCTACTGTCTCTATGCCTGTGTGAATAGGACTGTTTCATTTGCGTTGTCTCTGTGTCACGGACTGTTCAGGTATCACGTGGATCTCCGCATCTGCTTTGGATTTATTTTGAAAGCTGTTCTCTTCGTGGAAAAAAAAATAAATGTACAGTGTAATAAAGGGTATTTCCTGTGCCGTGTATTCGGTTGTGGAGTTCTGAGTGCTTTCTTCATGATCGTAAAAGCTGTGACTTACACAAGTGACTTTTGTCTCTGATGGGTCACTGACTGGCAAAGAAGAGATTTTGATCATAGTAACCCACCTTTCACCCCAAGGGCGGCTTTGAGACCCCAAGGAAGAGAGAGGGGACAGAGGAGGTTGAGTGTGTGCTGTTAACTCTAAGATTGGCCATTCTCTCCACGGCTCTCCTCACCCCTCCCCTCCACTCTCATCTATCCCTTCCCCTCTTCTGTTCTCCCCTCCTCTTCCCACCCACTTCCCTTCCCTCCTCTCTTCTCCCCTCCCCCTTCTTCCCTCCCCTCTTCTCTCTCCTCTCCCCTCTTTCCTCTCCTCTCCCCTCCCCTTCCCTCTTCTCCCCTCTCTTCTTCCCTCTCCTCTCTCCTTCACCCTCCCCTCCTCTACCATCATCCTTCCTTTTTTGCTCCTTTCCTCCTGTTTTGTACTCTGTTCTTCTCTGGTACTTGGAATCGAGCATGCTGATTCCCAGGCCCTCAAGCATGCTGAGCGCATGCTCCCCCACTTAGCTATGCCCCTGGCCCAACACACATTTTTGCTTAAATACAAAGAGAATGCCGTGAGACAACACGTCTGTTGTCTAATTTTGTTTTGTTTTGTCATTCCTAGGCCTGGCTTTCAAAGGAATCAGAACCTTTGCTGGATGGAACTGGATGCACAATTTAGCGCAGATGTGTACTTTTTCTGGGTACTCTCAGGCCCTTGGGGCCTGATTGGCCCTGTTTTTACGAAGTTGTGAGGTCAATATAGATTTTTTTCTTTTATTGAAAATAGAATTTTTTCTTACACGATATACCCTACTTACAGTTTCCCTCCCTGTTCCCTTACATTTCCTCCCACTTCCCCTCCCATCTGGATCTACCTCCTTTCTGTCTCTATGGGATAATAACAATATATAGCATAATAAGACAGAACAAGAACTAACACTGGAAACAAACAGAACAATCAAACATAAGGAAGAGAGACCAAGAGAGAGCACAAAACCCAGATATAGACTCAGAGACTCACTCATCCACATACTCAGATAAACACACTAACCTGGAACCCATAATATATTCCTAAAGGACTTATAGGGTAAAAAGAGAAGAAATATATAAATAAAATATAAAAATAAGATTTAAAAAAGCCCTGGCATGACATTATGAGATGAAGAATCTCCAATGATACTGCTGAGTTTGTTTTCTGTTGGCCGTCTACAGCTGAGCATGCAGCCTACCTT